CTCTAAAAGGTGCACCACCTAAATATGTGGAAACATGAACTGATCAATTGAGCAGACTCGGTGGAAACCRCACCTGTTACAGAGCAGGTCGATTTCTGTGTTCCTGTCTCGGTCCAGCTTGGTGTACGCCTCCCGGTGTCTCTTGGTCTCCTCCTCCAGGCTCTCTGCAGCCTTCRTCTCAGCATCCTTCACCTGCTCCTCCAGCTCGTGCACTCTGGAAGAAAAACAGATGTGATTTGAGGGGGACAGGCATACATGTCAACTTGTACRGATTGTCCGTAAATTATAAGGATTTTAYRTCATTTTGCAGGTATACGGACGTAYRGRGCAATCTCAYGGATTTTTTCAARTCTTAYGGATTTTTTMAAAACCTCCTTTTCAAATTTATCTAACATGTCAGAGCCTGTAGGATGATTAAAAAACAATAAATAACATCAAAYAGCCATCTTCCAACCTGTTCTGCYGCTAGAAATTAGTTTTGAACTTTYTYTGCCCTCCTTTCCTCCTGCTTCGCAGCGGGCGCTTTCATGTCCGCAGCCGACAGACACCCCCCTGCGGGTGCGAGTTGTACGGATTTTTTGCAAAATTTACGGATTTCTGAGGCTTTTTATACAGGTAAACGTCCGAAGATGTTGACATGTATGGACAGGTCTGAAACAAATTCTGACCAACTGAACTCATCCCAAATCAAATAAAGCAGAAACACTGAGTGAAACATTCATATCTTTACATAAGATAGTACAGTAGTAGAGTAGACCCTCACCCCCATCCCACATTGGGCAAAACATAATAAAGCCTGTAAACAGTTATGTGATGCTTGAGACAAACATTTCTGTTGAGATTTCTTTACGTTTTGGAGAAACACAAAGCTTAAAAGCCGAGCTCAAGTGTAAATCTGATTAAATACGTGTTCCTACCTGTGAACTAGGTGTGTGTTCTCCTGTTTGAGTTTAGACTTCAGGTCACTGTTGGCCACGCTGTCACTTTCCAGTTCCGTCACCTTTTTCTCCAGATAACTGACCTGAGAGAGAGCCAAACCTGTTAGGAAGTCATCCTGACATTGGAGGACCACAGCTACGTGACAATCATCAGATKGGAAAAGGCAAGCCTTCAGCTGATCACATCACTAACTCTGACTGTCCATGCAGCGTCAGAGGTCAGTCCCATCTCATCCTGCTCACGCTGGCCCTGAAACTGGACTGTACCAGACCCTAATGCCACTCCAAGATGGGTCCAATGTTTCCCTATGGAGGTCAGCCTGTGTTCAGCAGAASTGTTATCAGATCCTCTCTTCTGCAGCTGGAGGAGGCGGAGCTTACACATTTAGGAAAGTTTCAGCCAATGAGAAGAGACCATACTGAAGATAAGCTGGGCCTGAAGGAACGTAGACAGAGAGGAACGTAGAGTCTTGGGGTGTTTGTGTTTAAACTTTACCTTCTTTTTCATAACCAAGGAATGGTGTCTGTTATGTATCCACAAGTTTCTGGAAACGAGCATGTAGGCTGCCATGACMGACACTAGCCCCGCCCACAGCCCTCCTGACTGTTCAGTTTTTCCAGTGTGCAAGAAATTCATTCATTCAGATAGTTATGATAATAACAAATCCAGTTTGTTTTTGCTTCAACTGGCACTTTGAGCAGTTCAATGACGAGTTCACTTTGTCCAAAAATGAAATGTTTACATTTTATGTCTTAGATTTCTTGATATTTAGGCAAATGGTTTAC